TCCACTGTTTTCCGTATAACCTTATCCCCCACAGACTCATATCAGACAGCCGAGAAAAAAAAAAAAAAAGAACCAGAGTGCGAGCAAAGTCTGTGAAACTGTGCAAGAGGGAAGCGAGGTGGGTTGGCTTTTCCCTAGGACAGGGTGCTCTCTGAGTAAAACCTACTTGGGTTGGTTCGTTCGCTGCGTTGAGATTTGTGGTCATACATGTATACATACACCACAATCATATATCGACATGTGTATTTTGACTGTTTTACCCTGAACCCTTTTTTTTTTTTTTTTTTGTACTGCTAGAATTACTTTATGTTCTTCAAAGGCTTCCTGGCTTTTGGGGATTACCGCAGAAAGTGAGAGAGAGCAAAGGTTGAAGACCCCCCAAAAATATATTATTATTAGAACAACCAGTCATAAAATTTTGATATTATTTAAAAACTTTGCTTTTATTGTAATTAATTTAATTAATTAATTAAAATTAATTTTAACTATTAATTGTGATATAATTATTTAATTTTTTTTTTTTAAAAAATGGGTAAAATTATATTATATTATATTATATATATATATATATATATTCAGTATTTATGTGGTGGGTGATGGAGGGGTCTTATCAGCTGAAATCACTGGGGGGAGGGGGGTGTCTGTGTCTGTTAGACAATGACTCAAGAGAGGCCATTTTCTTGTCATGTTTAATTTTTTAATTATACAGAAAAATAATCTAATTAAATCATGATTAGTAACACTAATCATGATTTAATTTAATTTAATTTATTAATTATTTGATTTAATTAATTATAGAAGATTTTTTTTTTTTTTTTTTCTACATCTCTCTTTCAATAATTGATGATTAGAATAATGTGGCCAAATTTTGTAGATGAGAGGTATAGGGTATGTATAGTCTATTAGGGTATTATAGAATACGGACAAAAAATCGCTATCATTACTTATACAATTAAACGAATTTAATCGTTACAAAATATTTTTCTTTTCGTACGCGAACGTAATAATTTCGTTTAAATTTAATTCAGTTTAATAATTATAATTTCACTAACATATATAATAATTACTGATTCATAATACACTTATTAAGTCGTCAGTTTATATTATACTCACTAAATAACGAATTTTATGTGTTTAAAAAAATTTAAACTCGTAACTCTCTAGTAAATCACGAAAATTTTTAACTACTAAATCAGGGTTACGTTACGTTTTAAAAAATTGCTTAAATTGAAATCGTTTTCAAATATAACCTAATCGGTGATTAGGAGTGGATAATAGCATCCAATACCATAATATTATTTTTTAATTTTTTAAAAAAATATTAACATTAGAATGAAAAAGTAACAAAAATTTCATTACTGTAATCATAAAAACCTAACATTGGATAATACCTACTCTGACAGTCACCTAATCCAAATTATTAAGAATTATTGAAATAAGCAGAGAGTAGCTGGATTGATCTTCTTGTTCTTTTCTTTTCTTAACAATGAAATGATGGGAGTCTACCCCAGATCTCTCTGGCTACAATTATCAACAGCATGTTCAAGTTTACAAGCTTAATCATACTGAATTAGCTAACTTGCTTGAGCTTATACTTAAATGGTAATTTTGGAATGTTCAATACTATCCATTATGTATTGTTGAATAGTTATTATTTCTACTGTTTTCTACGAAGAACACGAGTTTGAATCCGTCTATGAGTTCTGTGTATGTCCTTCTTATAAGTTCTTTTAGTTAAATTAAGTATAAATTTATAAGTAAGTTGAAAAAAAATAACCATAGTCTAAGAAGAATGTTTAGTAAAGAGAAAAGAAGTGTGTCATAGATATATATAATGCCAAAGAAAAAAGCAAAAACAAGAACAAAAAAAGTAAGCAGTTTAAGTCAGACAATGGGGCAGGATATAAATATAGCTGTCTAAGATATCAACATGAAACTTGAAAGTGAACAATCATGTTAGGTACTAGTAAGGGACATAAGTGGAGAAAAATCAACTTATCAAAAAGCTTTTCTAATCATTAGCAGCAAGAAACCTATTTCTATCATTCAAAAAGGCTTAAAATTGATTTAGGATGTGATAAGATAAGCACTTATATATTAAAAACCCTTTTTTTTTTCCTTTACCTATCTAGCATTTAGTGGGGAGATTTTCAAACCCCAATGAAAAAAAAAAATTACCCACTTAATTTGCAGCCAAAACCCTAATAATCCTGTACTCCACCACCATTACCACCACCATGACCACCACCACCACCCTGTAAAACAGTCATGATAACCATCATTTCTTAAATGTGTTTGGCCCTTCAATGTCAACCAAAGATGAAGCAAATTTGATGGGTAACAAGGTAAGATAAGATTTTTCCAACTACAAAATGGACCCTTTTATGGCATAATTCATGCCCTTGATTGCCCTATATGACATGAGTAAATCTTCCACAATGTATCATCAAAAGTGATCTTAGATTGACCATCAAGAAAAATGTGTGTAATAGAGATGCAATCTCTGGTCCAAAAAAGGATACACAATAATAAATACCTACTTGGATCGTACACGCTTCAGATCTCAGTCTTTTTGTGAATTATCATATGCCATTTAATGTTTTTTTTATTGAATTGTACATGCAATCACAAAAATAAGTCAATAAATAAATAGTTTCACAGCAATATCATTATTATATTTTTTAGTGTTGGAAAAAATCTTCTTGAAGGGTCAACAAAATGAAATATATGGAGGAAAGTTGGGTTCTTGCCTAGGCACATCAGAAAATAACGGTGCGAAAAGTGACAAATAGATTCAACTTTTGTATGAAGTGTGAGCAGACCAAAATTTCCAAGGCCGCAACGTGTTAAATGCAATCGTGCAATGTCAAGGATCTATCATATCATATGACCAAGCTTGCAGAATCATCTGCATGGAAGTAAGGAAAGTTCAATCTAGATGTAGAGCAGTCATCATCTGCAACGGTGATATGGTCATTTGTCACTCTAAAAACTAAAGTCTTAACCAGATCAGCTTCCACTGAAAGAACTTTTTAACTAGAAGCTCCACATTTTTTCCAGTTTTCATTCCCTTTCAACCAACATATATCTACGCGCTCTAGTATTTAGTCCACTAACAATGCCGTCCAACAGTAGTAGACACAAATCTTATAGCTAAAAGCAAATTTATTCGATCAGTTCCATCATTCCTCAACAATTTGATGATCAATTTACTGTTTCTCTCTAAAATATGTCGTCTAATAGCACTAATAGCAGTACACAGCCAAAAAAAGGGTGAAGATGTATCAGCATAACTACATGATCAACTTCTTTTTCTCCTTTTTCTCTCAAAAGATATTTTTTCACGAGGAAGAAAAAGCATAACTACATGATCAACCCGAAATAACTCACTCATTTTCCTGCTGCCAGCATGTCGTTGCCGAAAGACATACTAAAAACAAGCATAAGAGACTTCTAACTAGAATTTCTAAAATTCAGTAATGCATCTTTGGATCTCCTTGTCCTATTTCCATCAATTTGTTTCTCCTTTCTGGCAGCCACGTTCAAGGCAATGTAGAAGATTGCAAATTATTTCCAATAAAATAATAGACCATGTTGTCAAAAAACAATCTAGTGTTTTATTCTACACAAAAATGGATGAAACATTTTAGGCTCTACCAAAGCGGTGCAACCTTCTGTCGTTCTGATATACAATTGCCATATGCAACTAATCAAGTTTTTGAATGAGAAGCACCCAAGAAAATAACACACTAAACCTGTACATTGTGGGACCACAAAGAGCTCCATGTCACTCTCCACGAACTGATGAATTTCTTATTTTCCCTTCCGTGCTGCATGGTAGAGCTCCATGTAGTCAAGAGCAGGGCGGTTCCATGACCAATCTTGCTCCATCACCTTCTTGCATAGTGAGTTAAACCAATCCCGACTATCATACCAAGCAGAAATTGCCCTGAAAAAAGATGTATTTCAAAATGAGTACTGCTTCAAGAAGCCTATGTAAACATAGATATGAGAGAATATAGGAGCATATTTTATTTCAAGTTTCAAGACAGTAATAAACAAGCAGTAAATAAATGCATCATCTCCAAAATTTGGTTGTCTTCCATCAACATTTTGTTTCTGCCTGATAGATCCAGGTTAAAGTAGATGGAAATGTAAGGTAGATTAAAAACTGCAATAAACCAACATAAGGACTACGACTGAACACGAAAATTAATTACTCAATAAGTTATGGGAAAAAGAAAATATGAACTTCACTGAACACGAAAAACTTTTCTTTCTACCTATTGAGAGCATAATCAACTCCAGCACTATCAGCTCCATCAAAATTAAATCCATTTGGTTCAAGACCTTGTGCTTCTGCTCTATCTTTATCGTGGTCAACATCAAATACAGTGTCGTAAAGTCCTGCAGAAGTGGCATGAAGTAGACTGTTAACATATTGTCTCCAGGAGGGACAAAGAAAAGAACATCTTGGAATATCCCATTATGATACAGTAAATCTAATGTTTTTACACACCTCCAGTCTTTCGAACAACTGGTATTGACCCATATCTCATAGCTATCAGTTGTGTGAGTCCACATGGCTCAAAGATTGAAGGGACTAGAATAAAATCAGCACCAGCATATATCTTTGCGTATTGAAGAGAAAAATCCGATTAGTAGTTTTCAGGATCATATTGCAAATTTCATTACTTGCTACTCATTTTCTACATGACTTCAAGAGTTGAGTTTTATGTGTGTGTACCAAATGAGAAAGGGGCTCATCATAAGTCAAACAGAGGCGAGCATGGCCACCATGAGAAGAATGCAGTTGATTGGCCAAGTTGACAAAGTCATTTTGGATTCGAGGATCTGGAGCCGAACCAAGCAGCACAACCTGACACCATGAATTTGTGTCGGTATGTAAATGCAAATACTAAACATATTTTCACTTGTGAGCTCATGGAAACCAATATCACAGCTAGAGGATAGGCCAGTAAGCTGACAGGATGATTATAAAGCAAAAGGCTATATGTGCCTATAGATACTTCGGGGAAAAAAAACAAAAAAAAGAAAGTCCTCAAGAGAAAGAGGGAGAACCTGTCCACTACGTTCTAAGGTACGCCATATTGCATGTTTAATAAGATGGATTCCTTTTTGATGAGTCAACCGAGTAATAATTCCTACTAAAGGGAGATCAGATATTTCCAAACCAAGCCTTTGCTGCAAGGCTTGCTTGGCAGCTCTTTTGCCTTCGACAACATTTTCTGAAGTGTATGATACCTGGAATAACATTCATCTAACATCAGAATCGACTCAATTGCAGAAGTTCCAAGGAACAGCTTCAAATGAAAAATTTTGTATTTATTTCTAAAATTTGCCTAACAACTACATATGACAATTGAATGAAAGTTACAACTTCTAGATCAATTCTAACTTTTTTTCTTTATACAGAGATTAAATAAATTGATCAGAAAACTTCTTTCCCTGTTATTAAACTTTTGTTGTGCTTGGATATGTACTCAAGCATGATTTCACACTAATGGCAATATGACCAAAGCATTTCAGGATATATGACCAAAACATATTTGCCTATGAACAGGAGGTACACAGAAGGGCATTTGGAGAGCTAACGATGAGTGCTATTTGGATTAGTAAATTCAAGGTGATAAGTTGATAGGTATTGCTCCTTACCATTCTACAGAGACTGGAATCCTTAATTATTTACTCATTCTTTGGGATAGAATACATGTTTACTGCAGATGCAAGCATATAGAGGAACAACTGCTACTCAAAAACTAAAATTTTTTAGAACTGTATTAGCAACATGAAGACAACAGCAAAACAAAAGGAGAAGAAGAAGAAACATCAAGCCACTTACAGGAATGAACTTATCATTGCAGGGATCCCATATATCTGGGTCAATTCCATTTACTATACCATGAAATTTGTGAAGGTGGGGAGCAATTGCAGGATTTCCAGCAACTTCTTTAGAGTAAGTGTGGGATACCTGCATATATCAGCATAAAATTAATGTTTGACACTAAATCATTTGTTTATCTGATAGAATTGATGACCAACTGGAAGAGAAAGTATTCCTTCTTCACCAATTTGTGGAAGCATAGGAATGTGGATTTCAAAATCAATAACATATGTCAAATTCAGTCAAAAGAAAAAACAAACTTATCTTCAAGGAACAAATCATCAATTATGCCAGTGAAAAGAGGAAGATTAAATTAGTAGATAAAATCTTAGGCACTTACAGTTGTAGCCTTGTCTGAGTACGCCATAGCTTTGCCAATGAGCGGTGCACCAAATTCTAGATTATGTATTGTGAAGACAATTCGAGTTTTACTAAGACCATAATGCATGTAATAGTCCTTAAACAACCATGCTACTGGAGCACTGGACCAGTCATGGCAGTGGATAATATCCTGGACAGGTTTAAACATCAGTAGTGAGAGTTACTCATAACAAAGAATGAATCTTTTCTTTCACACACAAATGCATCCACCCAAACATATGCAGGGAGGAAAAAGTCGTTCTAAAAGATCAATCTACCGCTATGCGTACAGGCAAAGCACTGGCAGTAGATTGTTTTCAGATACACTTCTTTTCTTTGACCACAACTGATTTTAGTCTACTTATCACCATGAATGTATAGATACATACAGGAAATCACTGCAGCACAAGCATCGCATGGAAACAGTCATTTATGATGCAACTGGAAAACTTACATCCTATTTGGCTCAAAACTTATTATATTCCCAATCTATTCCTAACCTCAGTTACATGATTTATAGAATGAAATCATTATTTTTACATTTGATTCACAATTGAACCAACTCTAAATGTTGAACTCTAGAACAATAGATGACTATCTCCACTCAATAAAGTTGGGATCACAATTCAGCTAACTTAAACTGAAGATAGAATTTATATGGAAATAGAATAAAGGGGAGTTGGGATTCAATTGTTAGCGAGAAGGAAGGGGCTTAGCTGGTTGGAGAAAAAGATGACAAGTGAAAAGTGGCAGACTGATGCTAACGAAGATCAATTCTTTTAGCCTCCCCATTTGTTTCATGTCTCTACATCCCATGCCTTGTAGTGTGGTCAAAAGGCTTGAGAAGATCTAATTTATGTTAGGTCCTGAGTCTAGGATTCTGTAACTGGTTGGCTAACCACAAAGCCTTGTAACAAGGAGGAAAGCTTACTTAGACTTATGGCCTTGATGCCCCATGATGACTCATTAGAGAGAATTATGATCTCAAGAGATTGCGCTCAAATTTTTAGTAATAGTTCAGATGATTTGATTGCTTTCCTAACTGTTACATATATAGAGGCTATGACAACCAGCCTTCCTATTTTCTAAGATCAGCCTAGCTGATCATTCCATAACCAACATCTTGCCACCAAAACATTCCTAACCAAACCCAAATCTAATCTTGCTAAGAGGTACATGTGAACCAGTGGATAAGTTCCTAAAAACGGAGAATTATTTTGGACGGGGGTTTGTCTGTTCTTGCCATTTGTCCTGCGTGTTTAGACACTGCCATAAAATCAATTAACAGTATCTAGAATGTCTCTAACAATTTCAGTGGGATGTGTAGGTACAAAGTCTCTCTCCTTATTCCACAAGACCCGTGGAGCAAAATCGCCTTTTAGGTTCCTTTCTAATAGAGGGAGTTTATCATGGAACTTGATTCAGACAAAATATGGGCTCATGGAGCGCGCTCTGATGGCAAAGATGTCTAGAGCGCTCAAGCCTCAAGTTCATGGAAGGGAATTAGAGGTTAATTTTAATGTTGGAGGTCAATTTTTGAGAGGACATGTGCTATAGCGATCAACTGCTAGAATTCCACTAGACTATCATTTATGGCCTTGCATATGGCAAAAATGCCAAACTAGGGGTCACTTTTTGCAGGTTGATAAAGCAGCTTTTTGGCACATAGGGCTTTCCTGCAATCTCAAGGACTCAGACATTGAGAAGCTGCAGGTTATTAACTCAATTTTCCCACATAGCGATGGCTGTTTTGGAACTTGTGTTAGGATGGTTCTTCACTGTTAAATCTAGCTACTATGCGCTTCTAAACTGTGATTCTATGTTAGATTTAGTTTCCCCTGGAACCCTTTCGGAAATATAAAGCCTCCTCTTCATGTGGCTTCATAATTCGTGAAGCTTTTTGGCTTTGAATCTTTAGCATGCACAAATATGAGGAAGAGGAGTTGTGTCCTCACCAACCAGCGCCCTCTTGCAGGTTACATAATGAATGCTCAAGCTATCTTCTTTTATGGTGTCCTAAGGGGAGAAAGTTATGGGATTGTTATAGTTTGTTGGGGATCACGTGGGCGGTGAGTGGGTCCATTCGGCTGGAGCGCTGACTTTGATGAAAGATTAATAAGAAGCTTATTGCTCTCATTCCCCATGCTATCATCTGGACCATTTGGAAGGGGAGAAGCAGTTTAATATAATTTTGGTAGACTTGATAGAATATTGGTTCCAAATTTAGTTAAAGATCGGCTCCTTTGTAAATGACCAGACCTTGGTGATATCTCAGATATTTTGACGAATTCTCTCATTTAAGTTTTTTTCTTTTGTTGGCGCAAATGGGTGGCACCCCTTGGCACCTTCCTGCATGTGTATATATATACATAGAAACTCAGCACTTTGTTTTGAAAACTTTAAAAAAAATTAATAGGATTACAATATTATTTTCATTCAAATCATAAACTCGTATTCCTATTCTCATTCTAAATAATTGCTGTTTGAACGAGACATAGTCTTTATGTGAAAACTCACCACATCAACAAACAATCTAGCTCTGCCACTTGAACTAAAATAAAATTGTTAAAGCTTGCACATTATGTATACATTGGGCTTAACTAGATTAAAGGGTATTAAAGTAAAATACACTGTTTGTAATTGATGGAAACTTTCCTTTTTCTTGTCCCTAAAACTTGTATATATAAGGACGTATTATTTAATGAGAATATAACATAATTATTTCTAACAAAAATACATAAAACAAAGAACTATAAAATTACAGATTATAAAGTTGCAGGACAAAATCCCCCTTCTTGTAGGAAGAGAAAAGTACACAAAATAAAGAACTTCTAAATGAGGAAGTTACAAACTTACAGGATGAAATCCCCCTTGTTGTAGAAATTCAAGAGCAGCGTGACAAAAGAAACCAAACCTCTGTCCATCATCCCCACAACCATATACACATCCACGTGAAAATAATCTACAGGAGAAAAATCACCAAAACAAAGAGATTAATCTAAGATTTGTTACAGAGAAGTCGATGAAGTGGATGCAGACGACAAGATGGTCACCACAGCAAGAACATGTACTGTGTAAACAAGTTCCTCTTTAAACATGTACTAACATGTAAGGATAACAAGGTTGTCATTGAACATGAGATTTTATTCTGTGTTTCAGAATACTACTAATAACAGTGTTAAAAATTTCTTGGGGAATGGGAGTAAGCAGTTACTATCTAATGTCCAAATCTCAAAGCACATGTGTAGTACTCTTAATCTGGGAGAGCAAAATATTTATAATACAGACAGGATGCAAGGAATGAAGAGCCCAACGCAAGTGTTTTTCTTTTTCAGTCAGAGCAAGTACAAGTCTTTCAGGCGCAAATAAATTTCTCATAATGAATAAAGTTACGGTCAACTAGTTCATGGTGGAGTTTTGTTGGAGTTTCCCAACTTTAATTCTTGAAGACGCATTCCTTTCTTATTAACTAAGTAAAATATTAGACAATATCTACGTGCAGCAGTGATTTATACTTGGGCGAGTAATTTCTCACCACAAACAATAGAAAGCTTAGAAGTCAATTTTGAAAAGCAACTTTACCGAATTAAGAGTTCTCGGTTGTATTTATAATCAAGTGATCACCAGTAAAAGCTTGTATGCTATTAAATGAATTCCTTTCAGTCAAGCAGAAGATCTCTATCTGCTCTCTTCCTCTCATGCTTGCCTAATAAAATATTTATTGCCATGCAAACTGCAACAATGATTTTTAATCTCCCTCTGAAAACAAACACGAGCCGAACAGAGCATTACCTCATCAAGCTGAGGTGTGCATTGAACAGTGCTTGTGATGCTTAGGACATATATTCTTGGCTATCAAGTTTTAAATTTAACTCTCAGAAAATTGTTTGTCAAACCAAGCATCTTAAGGAATTAGTATCAATTAAATAAATTACTCCTGGGGAATACAAGAATATAAACTTTTATTTTTGAAATAGAATACAAGAATATAAACTAACTTTCCAAATTGAGTATTTGAAACCAAATTTTTACCTATTAAGTGAACTAAGAGAAGACTATATGCATACATGCAGCTTACGATTATATCTAAGTTAAGAAAGTACAAACTGAAGAACTAAGACATGCCATTAATAAGCAAAAGGAGAATCGCATAAAAGCCATATGCTGATGTAAGTAATACACTTGACAGAAGTTATAAATTAGTGAGCAAGAAATATTTTAGTGGAGAAGTAGGACTGAATAGTTACCCATTTTGAGGCTCCAAAAAGTAAACTGAAAGACCTTCCACCTTCCCAAACCAAACTTTTATTTCAGTCCCGCTCCAGTGAAAGCCTCTATCGTAGTGAAAGTCTTTGACCTTGTTCAGAAACATGTATTCAGTTTATTGGAGTCGTGAAAATGAAGTTAATTAAACATAAGAAAACTATCATGGTGAATAAGCACAAGACCACAAGAAAACTCCAATAAAGAAGCAGAAACTGATCTTACATTGCTAAGGTTCAAACAGTCATACTTCGGAAGTATGATGTTGACATTGTGGTTTAAATCTTGAACAGCACGCGATAGACTAGTGACAACATCGCCCAGGCCTCCAACCTATAGATATTAGACAAGATAGTGAAAAGAAGAGTATGTGTCACTAATTAATATAAATACAATTCAATTGAACACATCTCTCTTCCCCTCTCTCAATCTCATGCATGTATTTTGGTGCACAATGCACACATATTTGAGTAATTCTTTTGAATAAAAGACCTCATCCAGACATTCTTCAACCATTATTTCCCAAATAAAAATAGAAAGTAAAAGATCTAACTGATGAAAAGAGATTCATTTCACAGATCAGTGTTCTCCAATTGGATCTGAAAATTCCTCTTTACAACCACAAGTTATATGGTTATGAGTTAGTTACTTTTGCAATCGGGGCCATCTCCACAGCAATATGCACAATGTGCATTGGTGGCTCCTTTGCAACTCCTCCCAGCACAGGTATATGGTAATCTGTGCCATTTTTGTTGTCAAAAACTCCATCATCTTCCCTCTCGGAGAATACAAAATCCATCATATATGCATCCAGTGGCACTCTTACTGAAAAAGATAAATTCAGATATTCAGGTTTATATTCATGTACTGTCTACCCTGAATTGCTGTCTATTTCTGCCATGAGACATAAAGGATTGCCACTTTATATGTGGTAATTCATACAAATTCAACCATTCTGCACATCTCTAGATCTGCTGATATATGATTTTCATAGTAAGATATACCTGAGCAAAAAAGCAACTTGATAACAGCTTCTTCATGTAACATCTAAATCCTACTAAATGCAGCATATGATCCATGAGCCTGTGATCTATGGCCATGCCATAGCCCTCACAATGTTACCCTGAATCGCTCCACAAAAGTTTACCAGAGTCACCATTGATCCAATTATTCCCTTGCTGTTTTAATTTTCTAAACATCTTTGTAGATGTACTAACGCAAATAGTCACAGGCACTCAACTCCATCACAATTGGATGACTTTAAGAAATTTTGAGTCATTTGGACTCACATTTTGAAAATGTCCATGTTTTGAAAACACTCAGATAGACAGTCAACAACCCTTGAGGTTGGCATATAGAGAGATAGAATAACGTTGTGATGCAAATAAAGAGGAAAGAGGACCGACATGGCACGGACCAACACCATTTATAACAAGTGTTTGATTTATGGATAAAAATAAATCTGGAACTATTCTCCAAGATGATAAAGTGAATGCTAACCAGTGGATTTTACATGAGGACCATTATCTGCCAGCAACATCTTTTGTGGTGGCAAAGTACCCATACGGTGAGTCCAACGATTAAATGAACATCTGAACCAAACTTCAGGTTTTCCATTCAAAACTGTATTGGCTGGATTATAAAATACTGTGACAGTGCTTCCTGCTTGAACATCAAGAGGCTCAGTATAAACTATGTGCTTTTGAGACAGCAGAAAGTTTTTCAATGTTCTTTCCTTTGTTTCTGCTTTCATACGAGCTGTTTTTTCTGCCTGAGAGAAAAGAAGAAAAATAAAGAAGACAGGACCTAGTGACAGAAAATAGAGATATAACAAAGAATTATGCATCCATAGAACTAACATCAATCTGATAATAAAGGCATATAAGTATGAGGAGAAAATTATCTGAAAGGACAATGAAGACTAAGACTCATGCCTATCTACTTTCCTCTGCATTATAGCCATACACATCAGGAACTCTTTCTACACATGTTTTTAGGCATGCTTTGATTTGAAGAAAACAGTTTGGAAATTTACAGAATAACCTATCACCAAAATAAAATAATAGCGTATTTTTTGAAAAATGACCAACCATGCCTCTATAATAGCAACATATATACAGCTCCATAATGGCATGTTTTCATGAGTTACACGTCATTTATTCTGAACGCTGGTAAACAAACCTTGGCACGCATAGCCTCCTCTCTTAACATCCTCTCCTCCTGAAGTTTTGTAAATATCAGATGTTCTTCCTTGGCCCAATACAGTTCTTCAGGAATGCATTTCGGGACAACAGCATGGAAATCTTGTTGATGATTGTTGTCATACAAAGTAGCCTCTTGAGGCGGTCCATCAGCAAAGACCCAATCCAAGAGAATGGCTCGATCAGGCACAATAACTGCAGTTGACATTTCTCAATTAATTCATGTAATATGGGCACAATGTTCTAACACCTAAGTAAAAGCTTCTCTTGATCTCTTCCTCAATGGACCAACTAGAAATAAATAATAAACTAATGGAGGAATATAATCTCATTTCTGTGCTTCCATAATCTAAAGAAATGTCAAAAAGGAATAAAATTTCTAACCAATAGGTTCATCTAAACTATGAAACCAAAAGGAACAATACACCACCTCAGAGTAAAGGAAAAGATCACATTATGAAGATAAAATACTCAGAAATCAAAGTATACAGAAACCTGGTCAAGAAAAAGTTCTCATGTGAAAATGATCATTCCTAGCCCATAATGAGCAAAATTTTGGGCAACATTTGGGTATATGAATAAAACATATCATCAACAAATGGCATCTTTAAATTCTTCTCACAGAAAATCTCATTAAGCTTGAAACATTTACCTATTCTTTCACTCATTGGCCATAGATTGGAATGCGCTTCAAGTTATTATCACTCATCTATGCCATGCCATTCATCTTTTAACTGTTAGAGAACAGGACAATTTCCCATATAGTTTATTAGACAATAGCAAGCTATTTTCCCTATGGTTTTCCTTTATTTAGTTAAGGTCCTATATAGTAAATCTCTATTATAGTAAATATCCTATATAGTTAGATTTTGTTCTTATTTTTTTCCTTATTCATAGAAATCTCTATAGATACATATCTATTTCTTTCAACTTAAAACAAGAAAAAACAGTCCAGTTTATTCAGATGGAAATGGATAGAAGGACGAATTGTGGAAGGTGGATTTACCATCATGTCCTCAGTGGGGATGAATAAGTCTTTGCTTGCCAAGTGGTCGTGGAAATTCATGATTGATGTGAACAAATATGATGGGAAGTGATCCAAGCCAGGTTTTGTATTGAAAGGAAAGTTTGGAAAACTAGAGAGGATATATCGCCCTACAGCAGCAGCTTATGAAGATGGATCAGTAAGAGTGAAATATCATCATAAGCTTAGCACAGTTTGTGGTGCGGTGGGCAGTCAGTTGGATTTTGGCATGTTAAAGCATGTGGAGATTTCTTTGCCATTAACCACAAAATCGACAGTGACTTAAAAAAAAAACACTCCCTTTCCTTGCCAAGAGACAAAATGCAAGGCAAGCATTTCACAAAAATCCACTTAGTCAAATGAATGCTTCCTTTCCTTGGCCACAAAAAATGTTGTAGGGCAAGCAAAATCGAAAGGAGCTACCTAGAACATCAACCTGCCAAGAAATCTCAATGAATGGGAGATAGCTAAGTTTTTAGAGCTGCTAGCACTTGTATCCAAGTGTCGGGCTGAGACCTCTTTTGATAATCGTTCTCTGTGGTCCCTTACTAAAGATGAGAAGTTTCTGTGAAATATTTGTATAGCAACTTGTGCTTCCAGAATATTTTGCATTTAGATTTTGTTAAAGCAAATATTGAAAAGCAAAGCTTCACCTGAATTGCTTTCCTTTCAATACTCACCACAGAAAACTACAGAAAGAGAGAAAAAATTATAGTCAATGGTCACACTATGTGCTTACTGGAGCACAAATCTCCCAATTATCTCCTCCTTTCATGTTCAGAGGTCAGAAGCCTGTGGGATTCTACTTTAAACTTTTCAAACAAGACTTTGGTAATGGCTGGCTTGACTGAGCTAAAGATCAGGGCTTGGTCGGGTGTTTAAATTTGTGAATACGTCAATCTAATTCCTAACTCTATTTTTGGGTCACTTGGAAATAAAAAACCAAATGAAATTTTTAAGATTTTTTCTCCTCTCAATAAATTTAGAGACTATCAGTTCTAGTCCCTGCATACTTTGTTAACAAGTCACCCATCCTTGATGATGTGGATTTAGGGAACACTATAGACATTTTGATTAATGGCATTTGTAAATCGTCTGTTCATAGGTGACATCCCTTTGGCGCCTTTTAATGATAGTCCCTTTCTTATCTAAAAAAAAGCTATTTTCTTTATAATATTTGATGTAAGCAAGAAGAGGGGAAAAAAATTTCTTTAAAGGGAGAATCAGCCAAGAGAGAAGACTTCTTTCTAAAGCATATGATATATTAAAGGAAG